GTCTAGAGAATGTTCTAGAAAATGATGAATTGTGAGCCAGTGCCAAGGAAAAATCCTGTATGTGTCCCTCCCTCCCTTCCTTCCATCACTCTCTTTTCAGCCTCTGCCTTTTGCCAGGCCAGTGGAATGAGTAAGACAGGCTGAGCCAGCACGCAGGTTTCCTCTGGGGCGGGCTGGGTGGTGCCTCACACTTCCTTCTATCCCACAGATGCCTCGGGCTGGTGGAAAGGCCGGCTGCATGGCCAGGAGGGCCTCTTCCCTGGAAACTATGTGGAGAAGATCTGAGTGGGGGGGCCCAGGATTCTGTCCTTCCGCCTGCCAGGGAGCCGGGCCCTGCTGGCAGGGGGTCTCGTGTCTCTTAGCTGCGTTAGCCAGAAGGTCCAGTCCTGTGGCCTCCAGCCCAGCCCAGGCTCGGGGTGGGTCTGAGGCTCATCACTGCAGCCCCCTCTGGGCCCCGGCCTCCCCCGTGTCACTCACATAGGACTAACAGCGGAGCCTACCTCCCAGCTGCCTTGTGAGTATGAAATGAGTCGTATCCTAGCAGCAAGGCATGGGGAAAGTGGGAAGGCCTTCACAAGTATGACCTTTCTCCCTCTCCACTGGGGCAATAAATGTTTGCCGGGTAGAAGTATAAACAGACTGAGCGCCAAACTTCTTAGAAACCTGTGACACAGGAGCAGCAAATGCACCATTTTACAGGTGTAAACATGAAGGCTCAGAGATTAAGTCACTTGCCTAAGATTCCACAGAACCAAGCCTTAAAACGTTTGAGCTGTCCACTTGCCAGCTGCCAAAAGTTGTATCCCAGCTTTCCTTAAAAAAAAAAAAAAAAAAAAAAAAAAAAAAAAAAAAAAAAATTGGCTGGCTGGTTCTGTCAGATCTGAATCTGCAGTCCCCAAACCATCTAGGACCTGACTGGACCCTGAGGGAGGAAAGAGGCCCCGCACAGCCCTCCACAGTCTACCCGGGGCCTCCCCTGGTCCCTACCCCCCACCCCATGTGTGTGCCTTCTTAGCCCTCATTTGCCGGGGTCTGGAAGGTTCTGACATTCCAGGGCCCTGACTTTCTGCTCTTACGGTCACAGGTGAAGGGGTCCTCTGGCAGCTGGTCTCCCCAGCTGTCTGCAAACCCATGCTAAACTCTGAGCCTTTGAGATCCTTCCAGGGGCAGCTGGAACCAGCTGGGCGTTCTGCCATGGTCTCAGCGTCCTGGCTTTCTAGACAGATACCTCCTCTGTGCTCAGCCCCTGAACAAGCAACCAGTCTGGGAGACTGGTGGGGTCAGGACTGAGCCAGAGGAGGGACAGGGGCTGACTGGCCAGCCGAGCCTTTTGCAGGGTCTGTACCCTCTCTCTTCTGCACCGACCTGGGGAAGCTGAGTGTGGCTGGGGGAAAAAAAAATCTCAATGATGCCCCCAACTACCCTCCCCTGCCGACCCAGTCACCCCTAACTGCCCTCCTTTGCCAGCCTGGTTGCCCCTATTGCCTTCCCCTGCAGGTCTGGTCCCTACCAATTGCCTTCTCCTACAGGCTTGGTCCCTCCCAACTGCCCTCCCCTGCTGGCCATCTTGTGTCCACATGGGGGCGGCCATCTTGTGTGTTAGAGTGATGATCAACTTGCATATTACATCTTTATTATATAGGATTGTTATACAGGAGCTTTCAGCCAGTCCCTTGAAAGTCCCTGGTTCCTTCCATCTCTGATTTTCTCACTCTGCCCAACCACTACGGGTGTGTCTCTTGCTGCAAGACTTACATGTGAGGACAGACAGAGGGGAGGACAACCCATATGAGCCACCAACTTGATCCGCTGGGCATTTCCTGGTGGAGGAAATCAGGGCTTCCTTTTCCTTCTCTGCCCTCAAACTCACCCTGTGGCCTGCCTCCCAACACTTCCAGAGTACAGCCCTGTGGCCCCTCTCCCGTCGTGGCAGACACCACATAGGCAGGAAGTAGGGTCTTCTGGATAGGATGGGTGAATGAGGTTTGGGTGTGGAGCTGAGTATGGGAAAAGGAGTGGATTTAACGTATTGTGATAGACAGTCTCTCACATCTAGGTTACAGTATCTGCAAACCTGTCAGTTTGACCCCACCCACACAGCCCACATCCTGTTGACTCTTTTTATTCTTTAATAAAACTTTTTAAGTTCAAGCCCTCCTTTCCCTTCCTTAGATCCCTGTCCTTTCTGAGGCCTAATCCCACCTTCCCCATATTGCACCTGTCTTCCCTGCTCACACACACCTCTCCGCCCTGCAGCAAAATGACCTGGTTTTTAAGTTTTTAACTGCATGAAAGCTAATCAAAAGATAAGTTTTTAAATTCAAGCTGCACAAAGGTGTGAAAAATCTGTCTCTCTTTCCCTCAAAAACCCCTGTTCCCTTCCCCAACTTTTAATGTCTCCTTCTAATGGCGTTCTCTGTATATAAGAGCACACAGGTGCCGGTGTGGGTCAGGGGGTTGGAGAGTCGTCTACTACACAGAAAGGTCTTGGATTCAGTTCCCAGTCCAGGCACATACTTAAGCTTTAGGTTCAGCCCTCAGCCCCATTGTTGGGGCACGTGTAGGAGACAACCAATCAATGTTTCTCTCTTTCTCCTTTCCCCTCTCTCTAAAAAAGTCAGTGAACATGGCCTTGGGTGAGAAGGGGAAAAAAAGCACACAGGTACATCTTATGTACACAGATGGGATTACATTGCATACAGTCTACACTTGCCTTGAACTCAGATAACTCATGAGTGGTTAAATAATGTATTAAAGAGCTCTGATATAAAAAAAAACAACAACACTTTACTGCCCCCCAATAGCCCATCTTCCAAAGGATGACAGGGATTAGATGGTGTACCTCTCCCTGCTGAAAATTCATCAGTGTCTAGAATAGAAACCAGTTCACAAAGCCCTGCATGACCTCTCTGCACCCAGTTCACTTTCTGTCTTCCACATCCCGCCTCCACTCTGCTGGAGTGCACTGATGTCGCTGCTCCCTGAAAAAGACAAGTCTGTCTCTTCCCATCTCAGGACATTTTACCAGCCACTTACCCACTTTCCCCAGCGTGCCCTAGCCCCACGACCTTCCACCGGCTCACTCCTTCCCATCAGGCAACAGCCCAGAAGTCCCCTCACAGAAAGGCTTCCCTGACCCATCACTGTCACATCCTTCTGTTTATTTGTTTGTTTGTTTGTTTGTTTTGGGTAGCACTTTATATAACCTAAGATTATTTTCTGCATTTGTTGTTGTCTGTTTTCCCATTTAAAAATGTGAGCGGTTGCCGAAACCGGTTTGGCTCAGTGGATAGAGCGTCGGCCTGTGGACTGAAGGTTCCGGGTTCGATTCCGGTCAAGGGCATGTGCCTTGGTTGCAGGCACATTCCCAGTAGGGGGTGTGCAGGAGGCAACTGATCGATGATTCTCTCTCATCGATGTTTCTAACTCTCTATCCCTCTCTCTTCCTCTCTCTGGAAAGTCAATAAAATATATTTTTTTTAAAAATGTGAGCGGCTTCTGAGGTCAGGGATGCTTGTCGGCACTGGTCATTTCTGAGTTCCCAGAACCTAGCACACAGTAGGCTGGACAAGTGACTCATTCTATGCTGCCACACTCAGTGCCATCCTCCTGGAAACACACCTCTCCTGGCAGTTAGCTTGATTCCCACCCTTAGCTATCACAACAGACCCACTCCAACTTGAGAACTAAGTGCATTGAAAATGTTTACTACTGCCCTGGCCAGGTTGGTGTATGGAACCTGTACTTCCAGGTTGAGAGTTCCCTCCTAGGGGCACATTCAAGGGTCAACCAATGAATCATGGATTGGTGGAACAACGGATGGATGTCTCTCTCTCCCTTCCTCTAAAATCAATCAACAAAATTAAAAAATATATATATATTTATTGATTTGATAGAGAGGAAAGGAGAGGGGAAGAGAGAGATATCAGTGTGAAAGAAAACTTTGATTGTTTGCCTCCTGTAGGCACCCATGGGGGGATCAAACCTACAACCGGGGCATGTGCCCTGCCCTGGAATCAAACCAGTGTGACCTTTCCGAGCCTGGGACGACGCTCAACCAACTGAGCACACAGGCCAGGGCAATAAGTAAAATTTTAAAAAAATGTTGACGACTACATTAATCGGTTTTGCTCAGTGGATAGAGCGTCGGGCCTGCGGACTGAAGGGTCCCGGGTTCAATTCCAGTCAAGGGCATATACATGGTTGCAGGCACATCCCAATAGGGGGTGTGCAGGAGGCAGCTGATCGATGTTTCTCTCTCATCGATGTTTCTAACTCTCTAGCCCTCTCCCTTCCTCTCTGTAAAAAATCAATAAAAAATATTTTTAAAAAAATGTTGACTGCCGGCACCGGTTTGGCTCAGTGGTAGAGCGTCGGTCTGCGGACTGAAAGGTCCCGGGTTCGATTCCGGTCAAGGGCATGTACCTTGGTTGCGGGCACATCCCCAGTAGGGGGTGTGCAAGAGGCAGCTGGTCGATGATTCTCTCTCATCGACGTTTCTAGCTCTCTATCCCTCTCTCTTCCTCTCTGTGAAAAATCAATAAAAATATATATTTAAAAAAAAAAAAAAAAAAAAAAAAAAAAAAAAAATGTTGACTATGGCCAACTTCCTTCAAAGAGGGTGCCCGGTCCACACAACCTCTTCAAAAAGGAGAAGCGCTGTTTATCGCCTTTCGAGGGCTGGTGATGATACGGAATGGGATGAAGATACCCATTTTACAGACGAGTACACAGGCCGGGGAAGATTTTAATCCCGGATCTCAGCGCACTGACGGTTTGCACATCCGCTCCGGGGCTGTTCTGTGGTCCAGGAGGACCCGGACCGCAGGCCCCGCCCCCTCACGGAGCGCCCCGCCCAGGCCCCGCCCATGCTCTCGCGAGAGCTGGGAGACAGATAATGGCGCCGACGTTAGCGTGAGCTCGCGGCCGCCCAGGGAGCCGCCGCAGCCTCAGCCGGGGCCGCCGGAGCTGCGGGAACAAAAGGCCTGGCCGGGCCAAGGATGGTGAGCGCGGCGCCGGGCACGCGGGAGCGGCGAGCAGCGGGGGCTGGAGGGGAGTGGTCCTGTCGCGCACACCCCCTCCGGCCAGCCCCGCCCCACATCCGGGTCCTCTCCCCGTCACTAGTTGTCATTTGGCTGTCGCCCTACCCCTTGCATCCGCGCCTGGTTCCCACTGGGCCACCCCCACGGAGCTCGGGTTCCGCCCCCGGGCTTTTTGCAACCGGCCCCTCAACACCTCCAGGTTCACCTGCACAGCTCCAGTGCGGAGGGTGTATTTATATCTACGTCCTCAGACAATCCACGTGGCCACTTCCGGCCTCACCAGCATCCTCCTGATCCACTCTGCTCAGGGCCTCGCCTTCCTAGCCTTTGTCCCGCCTACTCCCTCTAGGCCACGTAAGGGACCCCCTATCCTCCTAAGTTGGGGAGGAGGGGATGCTGCTTTATATGAGCAATTCCTGACAGATGTCCACTTCCGCTTTTGGAACACTTCCCAGTAGCTCCCTGCCCTCCCTCGGTGGAGCTGACTGGCTCAGAAATGCACAACGGTCTTTGTGGGGAGGGAGGGTTCCCCTGGCTGGCCCCAGCAGACCCCAAGTCCAGAAGGGCTCTCCCCACTTCTCTTTTCCACCAGGAGGAGGAACCCTCTGTGCCCAGCCCGGACATGCTGATCCATGCAGAGGCCAGCTCCAGGGAGGCTGACAAGGACGTGTCCCCAGGTGTGGCTGCTGCAGCCACCTCCTTCTCCATGGGGGAGGAGGCAGGTCCTGACCAGACAGCCACACCTCCATTGTGGGATCGTGGTGGGTCTGGAGGAGCCCAGCAGGGTGCCTCCTCAGCCCCAGACACTGGCCAGCCTGACCCTGGACCTAGCCTTGGCCCAACCAGCACAGTCCCTGGGACCAGTGAGGACCTGCGGCCTCCCAGGCGACGCCCACCACCAGGTGACCTGTGATAGGGCCTAAGATGGGGTCACAGCCCTGGAACAACAGGAGTGAGGAAAACAGAGTATTTCCATACTTGGGGATGTCACTGAGGGTGTGCCAGGCTGTGGCTGCTGTGATGAGCCAGGTCAGCTCAGCCCCTGCCTTTTGGCAGCTCAGGCCAATGGAGGCCATAGAGGGTAAAGACCCCGTAGGAAACCATAGGGTAACTCCTGCCTGTATATGCATGCCTCTCTGGGCAGAGCCCTGGACAGCATGGGGGAGGGGAGGGATGGGTGACCTTGCTGTGTACATCCTACAGGAAAGCAGATACCTTGCTCCAGCCTCGGCTGCTGCCTCAGTTTCCCAAGCGTTCGTGACTTGGCACAGCATCTGCGTACCCACTGCCCACCCACACAGTCCCTGGAAGGTAGGGGCAGAGTAGGTGGTGGGAGGCAGGCAGAGCTCCCAGGCTGACCCTTGGCCACCCCACTCCACTCCTCTGTCCTCCACCCCTGCCTTGCCAGGCAAGCTCTTCCGCTGCTCCGCCCTGAACTGCACGGAGACCTTCCCCAGCATGCAGGAACTGGTGGCACACGGCAAGCTGCACTACAAACCCAATCGCTACTTCAAGTGAGGCCCTGACCACCCCAACTTCCTTTGGTCCGTGATGACCAGGCCCTAGGCAGCTCCTGCTCCTGGTGTGATAGCCAAGACCCGGGGTTCAAGCCTTTCTACTTCCCAGGCAGGGGGTGAAGTGAGGAGGGGCCTGGGTCTGAAAGTGGGTGTGGCCTCAAGCAAGACCTGTCCCAGAGAGACTGGTACCTGGAGCAAGTCCCGGGAGGGATGGGGCTCATGGGGGTGTGCTCCTCCCAGTCTCTCCTGAGCTTCTAGGAGGAAAGCTGATCACCTAAGTCAAGACTGAGGCCTCTTCCTTTCCCAGGAAAAGGGCCTGGAGGGGTCCGGAAGGGTCGCGGTCAGAGTAGGGGCACTGAGGACAAGCTCCTACCCGCAGATGGGGAATGATTTGGGTCTGGGCCCCCTTACCACGCCCTTCTTGGTCCCCCAGGAGGCCCAGCCCAGTCCTGTCCTGTGTTCGCCCTCAGGTGTGAGAACTGCCTCCTGCGCTTCCGCACGCACCGCTCCCTCTTCAAGCACCTGCATGTCTGCGCTGAGCACGCGCAGAGCCCAGCCCCACCACCAGCGCCCGCCCTGGACCGGGAGCCGTCCACGCTGGAGCGCCCCGCGGAGCCCGACTCTGCGCTGGGCTTGCAGTACCCACTACTGGAGCCCTACACGACCCCCGCCCCTACCCCCACCGGGCCCTTTCTGCCCTACTTGAACCCCGCGTCCTTTGGCCTGAACCCCGCGCGCCTGCGCCCCTTCCTGGCTGCCGCTCCTGGGCCGCCGGCCTCCAGCGCTGCTGTCTGGAAAAAGAGCCAAGGTGAGTGCAGTGGCGGGGCCGCCAGAGGGTGGGCTGGGTTTGCCCCGATTTATGACCTTGACCCGCCTATTTGCCGCAGGTGCCGGTGGCAGTCCTCGAAGACCCCAGGGCGGCTCCGACGCGCCCGCAGGTGCGTGCAGGTGACCACCAGGGCGGGATGGAGGGGTTTCTGTCCTGCATCCTCCCAGGCCCAGGAGGTGCTAGGATGCAGCAATGCCAGCCCCGAAATACAGGAGTTTGCCTTTAAAATTACTGGCCCACGTGCCTTCATCTGCACCGGCGTTACCGTGTAAAGCTCGCGCTCGGCTGGGATTCCGGGGATGGGAATGGGGGACACACAGAAGTCAAGTTCAATACCCCCAATTTCAGGGGGGCACACACCGGGGGAGATGGATCAGGCAGGACCGACCCTGGGTTCCCGCGAGCGGATGGGAATGGAGAAATGTCTGAAACGCCCTCGCCCACGACCACCAGCCTCGGTGATGGAACAACCTCTGGGCTGGGGTCGGGACTGACAGGGCCCCGCCTGCCCGCAGGGCTCGCGGCCTCAAGCCGCATTTTGTGGGAGCACACGCGTGGTCGCTACTCGTGCATGCAGTGCACCTTCTCCACACCCTCGCGGCCCACCATGACCCTTCACCTGGAGGACCACCGCTCCATTGCCCCCGGGCAGCCTCGCCCCGATTGCTCGGTGGGTAATGTCGGGGAGCACCAGGGTGGGGAGGGGCGGGCCTGAGGCTCAGCCATGTTCTCTGCCCCACCCAGGCCTGGCCCCGTTTGCACCCAAGGTGTCACTCGCTGCTCGAAGAGGGGGAACATAGTTTTCTTGCTCTGAAAGCTGAGTGAAGAGTGGGTCATGAGATGCGGGTAGTTTTGTAATTTAAGTGGGGCCTGAAATGGATTGGGAGAGAAATAAAAGGCGCAATGAACTGGCCTTTGCTGTCTGGGTCCCTTGCCCTCTGATGCACAGCAGCCTGACCAGCAGTCTTGGGCAAACCCCGCCCCTCACCTCCCCATCTTGAGAAGGGCAGGCCTCCTCTCACGCACCACCCACCTTCCCTGCTACCCCAACCCTGGGACCAGCTTCCAGCTCAGCACTGCCACTGCCTGCTGTCCTATCACTTCCAGAAACCGGATGGAATGGAAATTTCCAGGTTTGTTTATTGTCTTGGGAGTCAGTGGAGAGGACCGGCAGGGAGGCTGGTCCTGAGAAAGCGCTGAGGCTGGCCCAGCTAGAGCCCTCCAGGTCCTTAGGCCAATGATAATCCACAGGGAGGTGAGGACAGAGGGCAGTGCCAGAGCTCGCAGAGCTGGGCATTCTATTGCAAGCTAGGACTCAGGTCTCATCCTTGTCCTGGGTTTTCCCCCTGCCCCGGCCCTAAGGAGAAGAGTGGGTCAAGGTCAGCCCTGGAGAGCCTGGGTTCCCTCCCCTCCTTATCCCTCCCCATCCTGGTCCTGTTTCCCTTCATGGGAAGTCAGGCCTGGGCCAGGGTTGGAATTTCGGTGCCACACTGCTGTCTCCCCTGCTGTCACTGGAATCCGTGGGCCACGTTTCCTGGTATGGAAGTCCCAGGTGTTACTGGCAGCCACCACTCATGCTGGTTCTACAACCTTCCAACCCCATGGTACTCCTAGCCCAGGCCTCTGGGCACCAGAAGCAATTCCTCTTGCCCTTCTCTCCTTCCCCCCCTCTTCCCAGTCTGAATACCCCTGAAATCGGGTCTCTTCTGATAGTGTCTCTCCCCTTCCTGTACCCTTCAGTGGCTCTCATAGCTCTCTAGATGAAGATCCTGTTCTAGTAGCTCACAAGGCCCTCATCTTGAACCTTCCCACTCCCTCCCAGGGCCACCCACACCATCTTCTCCCTTCTCTTTGAATACAGACTGCCTGGGAGAAGTACGTGAGAACACCTGCAGTCCCCTGCTGAGCTGGTTGTTACTCAGCACTAGCTGTGGAGTTAGATGGAGTCAGGGAAGTGGCTCCAGGGCCCTCTAAGCTCCCCCTTCTCAGCTAGAAGCCTTACAGCCATGACTGTGTGGCCCTCAGCTTCCCTAACCTCACTTAGTTTAGTCTTATGAGTGCCCTGATGCTCATCCCAGGTTCCCTCGTGAGGATTCATAGAGGGGCTGAGGAGGGGGGTGGGGACTTGGGAAATGTTTGCAAGTGATTCACATCTCCAGCCACCAAGTCCAAGGCTACCTCAACCTTTGCAAGAGCCTGGGGAAGAGGCAGGGCAGGGTCAAGAGGCCCATTTTACAGACAGCGAAGGTGAAGGGAGATGGGTAAGCTCACTGACTCTCTAGCCAGGCCCAGTTTCAAGTCACTTGCTGATTCTGTACCACCCTTGGAGCTGAGCAGTTACTACCAGGCAGCAGGGTCCACATTCCCAAAACCCTAGTCCCAGGCTTTCCTGTATCTCCAGGGACAGGACTTAGTGATTCTAGTTCCCCAGGACCCCAGGATACCAGCCCCCCTAGCTTTCCTTCCACATCAAGTCCCTCATTTAGCCATCCTCAATTCTAGTCTGTCAGGACTTTTCCAGAGAGACCAAGAGCCAATATCTTGGTCCAATTCTCCCCAACACCCACCATACCCAGCCCATCTCCCATATAGATGCAGCCACCCCTCCCATGAGAACTAAGGGCCCATAGCTACTACTGCCCCTTTGGAGGCAGTGGGAACTCTGCCCTGAGGCTGAGAGAGCTGGGTCAGCACCTGGCCTGGGCACCCTGACCACTCCAAAACCGACTTCCTCCCTCATCCCCTTCCAATTCATATACTATCTTTTGTCTGCTCACTTGAAAAGTATCACTGCTCCAGTGCCCCTTCTAGGCTGCTGCAGCCCCTGCCCTCCTGGCTAACCTATGACCCCACAGAAGGTCTCCTTACCCCACCTCAACTCCAGGATGCCTGAAAGCTGTCCTCTTATGCCCATGTATGTCCAGCAGATGGCAGCTGGGGGTGTCAGTCTGAGGGAGAATGGGAGGAGGCCAGCACTCGCCTTGTACAGCTGCCCCCATGCTGTACAAGGTGGGATAGACTGGAGGTTCACGTTGAACAGGCTGCGCCACTCCAAGTGTCCGTCCACTGCCTGGCAGTTGTCCAGCACCAGTTCGGTTGCTGGTGTTGCTGGTGGATGCCCCCTCGGCTGGGAAAGAAGAGGTAAGATTCCTGACTCACCACCCACATGCTCATCTTCTAGGTCAGTGGTTGGCAAACTCATTCGTCAACAGAGCCAAATATCAACAGCACAACAATTGAAATTTCTTTTGAGAGCCAAAAACTGACTTTTGCGCATGGGCCACGAAGTTTCATTCGCACTGCACCAGTGGTATACAGGGGCCAAAGAGCCACATGTGGCTTGTGAGCCACAGTTTGCCAACCACTGCTCTAGGTGGCTGCACCAGCTGTCAACTCTCAACTCCCATCACCCACCACCTACCCATATTAGGGAAGGCAGGTGCACTGCTCCTGGGTCTTGCACAGGGACTGGGTGTACGAGCTTCGATTCCCCACGCACGCTCAGAATCCCAGCTCACCTCGCTGGCCCTCAGAGTTCCACACACTTGCCTGACGAACCCCCACCAACACGTTTCCCAAGGCTGATGCTGGCTCAGGCTCACTTCTGGATTATGGTTCCCCGACTCCAACTGTAGCTGCAGGTCCATGTTCAAGGCTTCGTGCCTCCAGAAAGTGCCAAACATACAAAGAGGACTGGGGGTTATGTGTCCTCTGGGGACTGTGCCAGGAGCCTGTGGCTCTCCCCACAGGGGCTCAGCCAGGGAGGGACCCTCTAGAATTCTGTGCTGAATTCACCCACACATCCAGGAGTCTTCCCGGAGCCTGGGAGTCACTGGCAGTCATTCATTAAATTCTTCAGCTTACCTTCTATGCTCTCAGCCAGTCATCCCTGTTCTTTCCTTCATCCTTTCCCTCTCACCAAACCTGTGAGGTGGTGGCTGGTCCTGGAGACCCAGAGAGGACCCAAATCTCATCATCCCTGGCCACCTGTGACCGCTGTTCAGAGGGGAACTCACACCAGGAAATGTGACTAAGAATGCATGTCCCTGTGCAGGGACAGGGATTCACAGGCCAAGTTCCAGAATCCTCAGGCTGTACTCTTAAAGCAGACATACAAACAGGCAGTCATTTCCAGCTGTGAGGCCTGTGGCCTTCATGGCAGGGCAGGCAAAAGAAGGGCTCCGGCTGGGAATGCAAGTCCTCAAGACAGAAAGAGCCTCCTTCCCTGTCTCAACTGAATCTTTCTGGATCCTTTTGGAAATGTCTATGATCACCTGTCAGGTGTGATCTGCAAACTACGGTGTTTCCCCGAAAATAAAACATCCTCCGAAAATAAGACCTATTTACAGGTTTCCTTCTGAGTGAAATATAAGGCATCCCTCCGAAAATAAGGCTCCCCTAGGCTCTGTCTCAGGATGAAAATTAATTTACCATAAACTGGTTGCTAGGGCCGCCCGGACTGGTGTCTAGCAACCAGTGACATTACTCGGAGTCCTAACGTCACTGCTGTGTGGAGGTGGAGCGGAGGTCAGAGTGAGTGGTGAGCATGGGGCGGGAGAGGGGACTTTCGCAGATGTAGGTAGAAGAACAGGAGGATTAGAGCGGACAGGACGCAGCGAAGGTGGTGAGTGCTGGTCTGTCTCTGGTGACACTACCTGATGCTTGCGGCCGCCCTCATGATGACTGAAGGTTCAGTCAGTGGCAGACCCTGCTCCAGCCCAGATCCAGGCCCCAGCAAGCCCAGTGACAGTCCCCAGGCAGGCCCCAGGGGGTAAATGTCTGATAAAGGGGTAGGAGAGATGTCTGGTGAAGGTGTTCAGTGGCACAGGGGTGGGGGGAGGGAATCACTTAAAATGACACAGGAGGATCAGAGGGGGCAATCAAAATGACACAGGAGGATCAAAAGGGGTTACTAAAATGGTAATCCCCCCTCTGATTCTCCTGTGCCATTTTGATTCCCCCCCTGATCCCCTGTGTCATTTTAAGTGATCCCTCTCCCCGCACCTTGATACCCCAATTTCTTTTTTTTACCCCTAGAAATGAGTGCAAAAAGACAAAGCTACTCCGTGGAGTATAAGAAAGGAATCGTGGAAGACTCTTGGGGCCAAAATCTTACTGCTTTCTGCAAAGAGATGATGTTGAGTATCCGATTGGTCTGAAAATGGCAAGCAGAGTAGGGTAACCTCATTGAACAAGTGGACAAGGGAAATGCTAAAAAGTGCAAGTGTGGATCAGGTTGGCAACCATTATTTTCCAAGCTGGAAGATCTGATCTGTGAATGGGTTGTTGACAGGAGAGCAAAGGCTTTGGTTGTGAATAGGGCTCAGATTCAAGAATTTGCCCTTGCAATGGCACCACAGTTTGACATAGCCCCGAAGACTTCAAAGCACCACAACACTGGCTGGATAATTTCCTTCAGCGAAGTGAACTGTCTTTAAGAAGATCTACAACATTGTTTAGGTTGGAAGATACTCAAGTAATTAAGCGAGCACTTGCATTCAAGTCCTTTATTGATGATGCTGACTTCTTTAAATACAATCTTTCCAACATGATTGCTATGCAGTGTTTATGGGCCAATCATCTCAAACAGCAATTGAACAGCAGGGTGCCTTCTTAGTGTACATTCCCTCCACTGCTTATGAAAGTGCACATGTTTCCTGTATTTTGGCAATTCGTCTGGATGGCACTAAAATCCCACCTTGAATCATTTCTAAGTGCAAGAAGGAAAAGATTGAACTTGTTTTGGGCCTTTTTATATGAAAAAGCCTGGGCCACACAAGCAGTTATAAGGAAGTGGGTTGATTTAATGCTGCCGCTTGTTATGCGAGGGAGCCAAAGAGGTCTGCTAGTCTGGGATGCAGCCAGCACTCACTGCGCTAAAGACATGAAGACATTTCTTCACAAAAGAAAAATAGATCAGATAATGATTCCCGCAGGAAACGCAACCTATCTCCAGACTCTTGATATTGTAATAAACAAGCCATTTAAAGACAATTTGTGCATGGAAATTAATGACTACATTGAAAATAGAATGGAGAGAAATCAGCATGGAAACTTTGTAAAACCTAAACTGCAAGAAGTTGTGACTTGGGTGAAGAATTCATGGGAGAAAATCACAGACAGTTGCATTGCAAATGCACTGCAAGCAGGCTACCTTGACAAGAAGTACTCATTTAAAGACAGTGCTATTGCTAAACATGAGAGATTTGGTCCACTGATTCTGAAAGAAATGGAATCACAAGAAATTCACCAGGAAATTCAGGAATTGGATTGTTATGATGATGTTCCAGAAGATGATGGCATGATTGTCATTGAATAAATGAGTAAATTCTTGATACTGTAGGATTCACAGTTTGTCTGGTTTGTGTTGACAACTACCGTACTACCATACCATATACAGGTAATAAATTTATTTTCATTTAACAATAAATGTGTACCGTATCCTCCTTCATGGAAAAATAAGACATTCCCTGAAAATAAGACCTAGCGCATCTTTGGGAGCAAAAATTAATATAAGACACTGTCTTATTTTCAGGGAAACAGGGTAGCAGCATGGGCATTACCTGGGATGTTGCGGATACTGAGGCCTCACCACTGACTGGAAGCAGACCCTGCGTTTTAATAATGGGGACAGATGGGCAGGTGACTGATGGGCACCGGTGTTTCTCACTTAGCTGCACATTAGAATCACTCAGCAAGTGTCTAGGTGTGGCCACACCCAAACCAATTAAGTCAATTTCTGGATGCTTCTATGTCTTTGTAAATTCCTCTAACAACCCCAATGCATGGCCAAACGGAATCAGGGCTCTGCACTCTCCCAATGAACTGACCACCAGGGGACTGAGAGGAAGAGACACTGCAGAGAGCCAAGAAACTGGTGACTGTTGTGAATGTGCCGACCTCCAGTGCATGAGGTGCAGAGACAGTAGCAGGCAGGTCAGGAACTCAAGAAGTGCTGGTCAGGAAGGATCTGGAGTCAAGCCCGGCTGTCCCCGCCTCCTCTCCTTCCTCCTCTGCCCTCTCCACCCATGGGGCCTGGGGAGCAGAACCACAGTCACTTCCTGAAAGCAACAGCCCCAGTTCAGTTCCCTCTCTCACCGTAACCCATCACCTGCCTGCCGCCATGGTAAGTGAGTCCTCAAGCCCTGGGAGAGCCCACACTGGTTGGTTGGAGGCAAGGGGTGCCATGGGTGAGAATTGGGGGGCATATTCCAAGAGTACAGTGGCAGAGAAAAGCCACCTGGGAAACAGTTATGACCAGCACCAAGGCCCAGAGATATGAAGCAGCCAGGACACACAGTCCAGGCTCCAAGGGGCCCAGGCTGTGACTACAATTATAGGGGGACTAGTGGGGCTGCTCAGACAACTTCCTTCCCCTCGGGTCAGCATGAATAGGAACCTGGTAATGGAGAGGTCAGGTGAACACACCCAGGGTGAGCACAGGGGTTTCAAGTGGGTGACAAAGTGGGTCAGGCACCCGTTGCTTTCCCCCACCCAGGCACCCAAGGTGTGACCTGGCCCTGTGGGTCACCTGGGAGCCCTTGCTCCAACTCACCAGGTAGGGGCCTTTCCTCACATTCTCTGATAGGAAAGTGAATCATAACCAGGGGGAGAGGCCATGCTTTTCTGACCTTCCCTTCCTTCCCCCAATCTCCTTAACCCCAGGTGATGCTGGGTTTCAGGGAGCCTGTGGCAGGGCCGCCTCTGTGGGACTTGTCATTAGAGCAGGCCTGGCCCAGTTTGTGCATCTGTTTGTGTCTAACCAATGGTATGGATGATCAGCACCATACCTAGGCCAGACTGTGTGCCATAAGATGATGGTGCCTGGCTGTGCTTGTGCTTGGGGTGAGGAGGGGGTCTGCCTACCATTTCTCATAGGCGTTATTGACTGAGTGTCCCCGGCCATCACTATGGGCCTCTGGGACTGTGAGAAACCCTGCACCACATTTGCCTCCAGGTTCCCAAGTATCTCTGCATCCTTCTCTGTGAGTCTGACCATCAGATTGGATGTGGCTGAGTATATGCCAGACTTTGTGGCCTCTATGTTCTTTATTTCAACAAATATTTACTGAGTACCTCTTGTGTGCTAGGCACTGGGAGGACAGCAACGAAATGAGCTAAGTCACTGCATTTAAAAAACAATAGAAGTACAAAAAACGAAAGGAAAAGGAAAAAATAAATCTAAGTGACATAAAAAAAGGAAAAAATAAATCTAAGTGACAAAAAAATAAATCTAAGTGACAAAAAAATAAATCTAAGTGGCAGATACTAAAAGAAAAATCGTGCAGATTGGAGACGGGGTTAACAGGCTGCTGTGGGGGTACTAATCAGAGATGGAGGGTGGGCAGGAGTCCAGGGAGGAGGCAATGGGAAGGTGCATCTAATGGGTGACCGTGCTGCAGACAGAGAGAAGTGGTTGGATTCCGGATGTAATTTGCAATTAAAACAGAAGGAACTAGAGACATGGGGGTAAAAGAACAAGGAAGGGGTGTGTGTGTGTGCCTGTGACCATGTCCATGTTTCTCCATGTTGGTTCTTTACACAACTCCTGTGTGTACCAGTCCCTGACTGACTGACTGTCCTCTAGGAGAGCCATCAGGACTTCCGGAGCCTTCAAGCAAAGTTCCAGGCCTCTCAGCCTGAGCCCAGTGAACTCTCCCCCAAATCTCCAAAGCCTGAGTTCAAGAAACTCCTCAAAAAGTTTCCACAGCCTGAGCCCAGTGAGCAGTCTAAGAAGCCCCCACAGCCCGAGTTCACTAATTTCCCCAAGAAGCCCCCACAGCCCGAGTTCAGTGATCTGCCCAGGAAGCCCCCACACCCTGAGTTCACTGATCTTCCCAGGAAGCCCCCACAGCCCGAGTTCACTAATTTCCCCAAGAAGCCCCCACAGCCCGAGTTCACTGATCTTCCCAGGAAGCCCCCACAGCCCGAGTTCACTAATTTCCCCAAGAAGCCCCCACAGCCCGAGTTCAGTGATCTGCCCAGGAAGCCCCCACACCCTGAGTTCACTGATCTTCCCAGGAAGCCCCCACAGCCCGAGTTCACTAATTTCCCCAAGAAGCCCCCACAGCCCGAGTTCAGTGATCTGCCCAGGAAGCCCCCACACCCCGAGTTCACTAATTTCCCCAAGAAGCCCCCACAGCCTGAGTTCAGTGATCTGCCCAGGAAGCCCCCACAGCCCAGGGTCACTGATCTGCCCAAGAAGCCCTGCAAATCTGAGTTCAGTGATCTATACAAGAAGTCCCCACCGCTGGAGGCCACTGTGCCCCCCCCGAAGCCCCTGCAGCCTGAGGTCAGTGAGGCCCCTCAGAAGGCCTTTCAGCTGGAGCCCAGTGCACTTGCCCAGAAGCCCCAGCAGCCGGACCTCAACAACCCCACCAGACTTCCCACAGAACCCAAATTTGGTTCGTTCCCCAGAAAGTCCTGGCCGCCTGAGTCCAATGAGGCTCCCCTGAAGGCCTCACAGCCCGAGTTCAGTAACCTTCCAAAGAAGCCCCCACACCTTGAGTTCAGAAAGCCCCAGCAGCCTCAGATGCCCCCCTGGAAGCCTGAAAGCAGTGAGCCCCACCCCAGCCTTTCACAGGCTGACTTCAGTGCCTTTCCAAAAAAGAGCCCACAACCTCAGCTGAGTAACCTCCCCAGGACGTCCTCAGAGCCCGAAGTCTGTGTGTATCCCCAGAGGCCACAGCAGTCTGAATTCAAAGCACTTTCTAAGCTCCCAAAGCCCAACCTGGACAGCCTCCCCAGGACGTCCTCGGAGCCCGAGATCGGCTTATACCCCAGGAAGTTTCCACAATTAGAGGGCCAGGGGCCCCCCCGCAAGTATTCACAGCCTGAAACCAATGCTCTGCCCAAGAAGCCCCGGCAGGCAGTGTTCTTTGGGGATCACTCTAGAAAGCCCCCCCTGCCTGGCTCTGTTTCGGAGAGCTCCCTGCCCAAGGCTGTTGCGGGCTCCAGCTCCAGATTCCCACTCAGCCCAGGGTTTGGAACGAGGCAACAGAAGTCGGGAGCTCTCCTTCATGGTGGAGGGTCAAGGCTGGGCCTCAAACCCGGCCACCCACCACGGCAGAGGCCTCTGCCTCCAGTCAGCAGCCTGGGACCTCCGCCAGCCAAACCGCCGCTGCCCCCGGGCCTCAGGGATGTCCAGAGCTTCCAGAGACCCTCAGCAGCAGTCACAAGTGAGTCAGGACACCCCAGGCTGAAAGGAAGGGGCAGAGGCTCCCTGGCCTGCCTGCCTCCTCCTGTTCTCCTCTTTCCACAGATCTACGGAAGACCTGCTCTTCCCCTGGAATCCACTTCCAAGCCAGACAGCCTACGGCTACCCTGAAGTGAGTGTGGAGAATAAGGGGATACATACAGGTGCCTGATGCGTCTCAGGTATCTTATCTCAGGTACCCCTGCAGGGACTCAGAGGACATCTACGAGCTGTACGATGACGTGGAGCTGACAGACCGCAGCCCCAGCCCCATGGGCAAAGGTTTGTTGGCAGCGGCTGGACAAAGCCAGCCTGGGCACCGGGGACCTATCTGCTGCAAGGGTATTTTCTGCCATTCTGTTCCCTGACAGTGCAGGGGAGCAAAGCAGAGAGGAGGAGGGGCCTTTCAGAAAGTTCACACCAGTGCCTGATGGGCAGCACAGCTTAGTGAAGCAGCACAGAGGCCAAGAGTCAGTGAACATGATGTAGCCAGGGCAGAGCGGTGGCCCCGGATGGTGAGAGTGGAAGAGTCGGTAAAAAGCGGCAAGAGAACTTGGCAGTGTATTACACGGGAGAGAGAGGGAGCGAGGGAACTTGCCTTGGGCCTGGTTGTAGAGGGAAACCGTCCTGAGTCAGGTAAAAGAAAGGTGTCAGGGTCCCTCATTGATCTGCTATGTTGGAGGTGCCTGAGGACTTGGGCCTGGACACAGGTATGTATGTCCCTGACACTTCTCTTGAGAGCTCAGAGTTCCAAAAGCCCCTTTTATCTCCCTTCTTCCAAGTCTGCTCCTGGAGAGCAGGATGCTAGCCTAGCAGGCCCACACCTCCAGCCCACACCAGGTTTAATGCCTTCACCAACGCTGAATGAAAACAAAAGGTGCCTCCACATAATGCACTTCACGTGTGTGTCACTGAACCTGCACAGACCCCTATCCAAGGCAATGTCATGCCCACTTTACAGATGGGGAAGCTTGAGGATCTGAGGAGTATCTTGTTGCACTTATACAGCCAGTACACACAAGTTCAGGCCCCCTGCTTCCAAACTGCTTCCCTGCCCTGGCTTTGGAAGGGGCTCCTGTGGGGGAACCTTCCACCAGGGGTGTCTTTAGGATGCTACCGCTCCCTCCCCTTTAGTACCTCCCACTTCATCTGCTGCTTCTGTGGCTACTTCTCCTGAGCTTTCTCCGTTAGCAGTTAGCAGAGCTTTCTGACAGGCCCCCTCCTTCCGCTCTAAATGTGGCTCTGCGGGGTCACTGTTGGGGACATGGACATGGGAAGGAAATGCCTGTGGCCACTCCAATTCCAGTAGCCTTGCAGGCCTGGCCCACACCGCCTCCTTCCCCAACTCCAACCTCCCAGGCAATAGCTGCTCCACATCCTCACACAGCTGAAGGTCAGGCCCACCTTTTCCCCATGGGGCCTGCTCAGGGTCACATTGCCAAAAAGCTTGGGTTACAGGTCCGCCAGGTCCATCCCACACCCATGTTCAGTGGTGTGCTCTGTGCTACAATGGGTTTATAGGCTGCACCCATTGGGTGACCATCCCTGGTTTAGGCAGCCTCTGGAAGAAACAGTATCAGCTGGAAGGGGTATTTTGGGTGGGACCATGGCTGGCACCATCAACTGAGCATCAGGTGGAGGCTGGAGGCAAGCTCAATGCCTGAAGGGACAAGAGCACCAAGCAAATACCCTCTCAGTGTCTGTCCTTGAGCCTTCACTCTCCCATTCATGAGGCTCCCATATAAGCCAATCCCCTGACCAACAGCCTCCTACCGGAAAGACTGGTCACTTGCCAGGAAGTCTGCCCCACCCTGGGATACCCCTCATGGTCTAGTCTCATTAGCCAGGCCAGTCCAAGAACTGCACTCCATTGCCCCTTCATAAGAGGCTTAGTATGCCTCCATGGAAATGTTTTTGCCTCATTTTTAACCCCAATTTCATAATTTCCACAACCCAATCTGCTCTAGGCACCAGACATGAAATGGCCTCAAAAGTCTACAAATCCTGTCTCTACCACTTACCATCTGGGTGACCTTAGGCAGGTTACTTTACCTCCCAGAGCCTTTGTTTCCTTGTCAGCAAGTTGGAAATGACATACGAGGGAATGTCTTGAAAGCTGACAAAGGGAAGGCTCACTTAAGATCAAGTGACCAGGGTTAAGAGAGGCCAAGCTGATGGGTCCTTCCTAATATGATGTTCTGACTGCCCCCAGGTGAAGTGCCATCTATCCAGCAACCCCCCAGGAGGCCACCACAAGACCCTGAGCTCAGGTACCACAGGGCAAAGCAGAGAGGGGCGGAGCTCTGAAACAGCTGCGGAAGGGGACCCCTGAGGTACTCAAAAGCACTTAATTCCTTGAGGGACTCAGGAAAGAAAAGGCACCTCAGCCACAGCAGTTGCTGCCTGTGGACCCTAAGGCCCTGAAGAAAATCCGGAAGGCTGAGAAAGCTGAGAAGGAATTCCGGAAGAAGTTCAAGGTGTGGCAAGAGCCCTTGAGGGCTGGGGTCAGTCCTGTTGGCCAAGGCCCCTGGGGTTGGTGGGGGAGTGTGTGTGTGTGTGTGTGTGTGTGTGTGTGTGTGTGTGTGTGTGGCGGGGGGAAGGGGCGGGGGGCAATCAGCACAGCCAAAGCTCTAACATGCCCCTCCCCAGTTTGAGGGGGAGATTGTGATTCAGACAAAGATGATGATTGACCCCAATGCCAAGACTCGGCGTGGGGGTGGGAAGCACCTGGGGATCCGGCGTGGGGAGATCCTGGAGGTGATCGAGTACACCAACAAGGAAGAGATGCTGTGCCGGGATACCAAGGGCAAGTGTGAGTAAGCTGGGCAGCCCTGGGGAGACAGGCCCTACACTGCCAGACCAATAATTCACCCATCCCTGCTTTTTCTGCAGATGGCTACGTGCCCAGAATTGCATTGCTGCCCTTGTGAGTGCTGCTGTGATTGGGGGTGGGGTGGGGTCCAGGGGTGACCTCTGTCTCTGCTAACCCAACTGTTCTCTCTACCAGGGAAACGGAGGTGTATGATGATGTTGGCTTCTGGGGTATGTAGATGTTCTGGTTGGGTTGGTGGGGTAAGCCCCCACCCTACTTCCCCAAGAGATGCTTATGAGGAGGGGTCAATGGAAGTCACCCTTCTTCCTCTGTAGACCCTCTAGAAAGCCAACCATTCCCACGAGGACAATAAAGCCTGCAGGTGTGGGGACCCAGGACAACCACCCACTAACCCAGGAAAACTGGATCCCAGCTTAGAGGCCACAGAACTGCCAAGGCTCACACCCGACCACGAACATGGACCACATAAAAAGCCTTTCTTTTAAGTGATCACTGCTTCTTGTTTTTCTTCCCACTTGACAGGCACATAGTGTAGAGAGATCAAACACTCAGGAGTCTATGGGGTTGACCCCCTCCTTCACATTCTCACCCCTCAGTGATAAAGGCTAGGAGAAAAGTGTGGCAGGGAGAAGGCGGCAAGGAAACTAGTACCTGATAGACTTCAAGGTTTGAATTCCTGTGACAGCCCGTCAGCTGCCAATCATGATTGAGAGGGAGTCCGGCAGGACACATCCAACACAGACAGGAGAAGCAGCAACTGCTGCTCTTTATAGGCTGCAAGCAATTGTCTAGCCCAAGTGGACCCATGTACGAGGTTCCATTTTGGTGGTGATAGCCCAGTTTTTAAAAAATATGTATTTTTATTGAATTCAGAGACAAAAGGAAAGGGAGAAAAACATCAATGATGAGAGAATCATGCATCGATCGGTTGCCTCCTGAAGGCCCCACTGGGGATCGAGCCCACAACCCAGACATATGCCCTTTGCTGGAATCGAACCTGGGACCCTTCAGTCCATAGGCCTCTATCTACTGAGCCAAACCAGCTAGGGTGGGTGTGGGGGTGGGAAGACCCAGTTCTGATACAGCCCAGGAATTAAGTTCAGCCTGAGCCTCTATGGGGCTAAACATGCTCAGAAACTCACACCCTGCTTAGTCTGTTTTAGTAAAGAAAAGCTTTTTGTAGTTGAACTGAATATTTGGTGTCTCTCCCTCCCCACGTAATTCTAATGCCCAATTTGAGAGGCAATTAGGTCTATTATCCCCAAGAAAGCTCTTTTGTCTTTTCTACCATGTAAGATAACAGAAGGCACTATGAACCAGATCTGGCTCTCTCTCACTGGAGACTGCCAGCACTTTGATCTTGGACTTCTGAGCCTCCAGATTGTGAGAAATCAATTTGTTGTTTATAAACCACCCAGCTTATGGTATTTTTGTTATAGCAGCCAAAGCAGACTAAGACAAAAACTGAAATGGAAATGAACCTGATGCAGTGTCTGTACCACTTTAAGAAACTGCACAGAAGGGAGACAGGACAGCTAACAGCCAAGTCTCCATTACCAACACAAGGGATTTCAGGTCCACTCAGGATAGTTTCATAATTAGTTCCTAAAGGGGCAGGGTCCACAGAGAAGCAAGAATGGGGATGAGACTCCTGGGTTCACAGCTCCAAAGGTAGAAAGGAGACTGAGTGGTTCCTGCTTCCAAATGTCGGGTGGTGGGCCCACAACACGCACACACACAAAAGTAAGCAGCTTTCAGGAACTGGTATTTATTATCAAAGTCATATTTGATGTCAACAAGATGCCACAACTACAAAAAAAATTGCGCACATTGCAATCTCAATGCAAACAGTCAAATGGAACCCCAATCATTAAAAAAGTAATTCAAATTACCCCAAAAAGCAACTGAATTTTTTAAACATCTTTATACATCCAGCCAACAAATTAAAATGGTTAACAAGAAAAAATACAAATTCAGAGGTCTGGTATCGATGTTTAAAAAAGGCAACTGCTTAAGCATTTCTATCGATTCGAACATCAATCTCTCGGCCACTCAGCTTCATCCCATTCATCATCCGGCAGGCTCTCTCAGCCACCTCTGGAGATTCAAACTTAACCACACCGCACCCCTTGGACTTCCCATTCTCCATCTTGATGTCCGCATACAGCACGTGGCCTGTGCACAGGGAGGGAAAAAGAGACCACAACTCATCAGGCAAACCAGATCTCAGCCTCAGTCTGGGCTCCACTCAGTCCAAATCACCTGTGAACGTCGGTGGTCTGAGCCAAAAGGGAGAGTAGAGTACGCCCCATCCCTGGTGCATGAATGCCCAGAACACAGTGGCTGGGACCGAACTACTCTAGCCCTCAGCTCAATTCCCATTCTTCTGCCAACAGGAAAAATCTGAGCAGCCCCTTGATAAACCTTCCTGACAGCTTCAAATGCAGGTCTTTACACTGAAGAGTTAGCCAAATTGGGGGGAGAGGAGGTTTGAAGCCAAATTTATAAGCAAATTTTAGAGTTTTCATTTTTCACTATACCAAATCACCACATTTACAAAGCCATCACCAATATGATGGATACTTTTGCACTATCAAAATATAAGCTGTGTAATAATTAGCAGTTTTCACATATTCATTCATTCAAGCATTGATTAAGCATCCAGGTATGTGTCAAGCACTGTGGAAACAAGTGCATAGGAGAAAAAGCCATAGAAACACAGGGCTCTACTTCAGAGACTGCCAAGGACATGACAGTGTAGCCACAACTACAGAGAGACCACAACTCTAGAGCCATTAACTGAGAAAGGGTCAACATCTTGAGAGCTTCTCCTGGGAAAGTTCTGAAACAGTTTAAGTTCACCAGAGGACTTGCTGATAACAGCTCTCAACAGAGCACTTCTGGAGAACAACACTTGCCAACTCAGGATTCAGAGACAGGAGGGAGATGAAAGAGAAAGAGACCAAGCTATTCAAGGGCTTGTGAGTTTGAACTTTTCTCTTGCCAGCCCAGGGTCACCTCCAGGTATGAGGCCGGGGGGATTGCATGATCCAACCTGACTTTTCAGAATATCTACTACAATGTGGAAGCTAAAGAGTGGAGACAGAGGGCAAGAAGAAAGCTATTGGGCAAGAGCTAACCCAAGAGAAGAACCAGGAGAGCAGCATCATGGTGAAATATGAGCCACTACTGAAACAGGAAATGAGAACACTTGAGGAAGCTTTGACCTAGCAAGCCAAAGCCACCGAGACTCTGGCTTAGGGCCAGGCCTCCATTTTACATGGTTAAAAGAACAGAAGTTGCCCCAACCAAATGGCTCAGTTTGTTGAAGCATCATCCCATACACCAAAAAGGTGGTGGATTTGATTCTTGGTAAGGGCACATATATGAGAGAGGCAACCGATAAATGTTTCTCTCTCAATATAACTTCAGATGAGAATTAAAAAATAAAACACACACACACAACAGAAGTGGTGGGGGTGAGGGATGGGTAGGGTAGAGGTCACTCAGAGACAACTTACTTTCAGCCAAAAAGTGAGCCTACCAGAATGGTTGCCTGATGTGCCAGAAAACCACAATCACGGACCCTCAGCTTCACCCACATATAAGCTACTGCATACCCAGAGCCTGGCAATGCCACACTGCAGGACCTGCTGGGCGAGTGCTCTCTGAAGCACAATTTAAGTAGGTTTTATAGTAGATAGAAAGAGACCTTGTCTCAAATGTATTAATTTTATTTAGGTCTGTTACTTAGAAGCCATATGACCTTGGGAATGTGACTTTGCCTGATCTGTAAAACTGGGACCATGCTATCTCCTTTCAAAAACCATAAAAGGAGAAAAAAGATTAAGGATAATATGAAAACAAAGGTGAAAAGTGTCTGACACATACAAGGAAACTCAACCTGCTTGAATATTTGCATAGGCAGAAAAATGGCAAGTCCCATCAGCCCTCTAGAGTAAATAGAAAATGGCTTTTAAAACTAGGAAGGAAGGTTCATTGCTTGACTCAAATGAAACATCAACAAGCTAAAGATTTCTGAAGCCACAACATATGGAAGCATATAGAAAACATTTCTCAAACACTTACCACATTCGTTGAATTTGTCCTTTAGCATCTTCCATGTAAAATCAAATGGGAGCTAGGGGAAAAAAAGAACGCACTGATGAGTGATTCAACCAAATCATAATGTATAAACATTCCCATTGTCTCTGAGGGTGACTTAAAGAATTTCCTATTACACAGAGAAACTGGCTGACCTCCCAACTGAGACAATCAACAGAAAACAAACTGGTCTGGAATGAGTTTTTAAACTATCACACCAGGTTTACTCCATTGTAGCTTTTTCTGTCCATGGGAGCATCATTCAGAGAGAATGCACAGCTGCTTATGGTTCAGGTCACAGAACCACTGAATAGTAGCTAAAGGCAGTCAATTTGGTACAGATAATTCACATACAACCATTTTTTCCTCTGTATTGTCAGACCAAGGTTTAGTGGCTCTTCAAGCCAAGAGATCAGAAAACTAGAGTTCTTCATTTCACTGTTCCATCTAGTACTTGGAGAAGCCCAGTGTGTTCATAGAACCCACTATTCTTGCTGGAGAGTATTGTAAGCTGTCTCATTTCCTCCTCATCCTACCAGCACCAAACTTGGGGACAGTGACAAGGTGGCCTTGATGCTACTCAGCTAGCTTTCTGAAGAGAACGTAACCTCTGACTTCGACTGGCCACCACTGACTTCCTGTCTCCCCCTTTCTTTTGTGCCTACAATTGAGAGATTCCAGGTGATCCACTTACATTTCTCACAAATATCTGGCAGGCCTTTCTGGCCACCCCAGGAGCATGGCCTCCAGCTCCACCAAAGGAACCTGCGAAGCTTCCTCCAAAGTTGCCACGCTCCATCTCGATGGCACGGTCAAAGCTGGCACTGCCACCGCCACCCATGGCCAGGCCCATGCGCTCAATGCCAGCGCCCAGGGCCGGGCCCATGGCGGGACCCATGCGCTCCAGGCTGTTGGCACCCATGCGCTCCAGGCCTATGCGCTCCAGACTGTTGGCGCCCATTCGCTCCAGGCCCATGCGCTCCAGGTTGTTGGCGCCCATGCGCTCCAGGCCGGTGGCCATGCGATCCATCACAGGGCCCATCCGCTCCAGGCCAGCCCCCATGCCTGCGGGCACCATGCGATCCATGCTCAGGCCCATGCGCTCAATGGCAGGGCCCATACGCTCTACACCAGAGCCCATGCGCTCAATGGTCTGGCCAACACGATCGATGGGTGCGGCCATGCGCTCCAGGCCAAAGCCCATGCCGGCACCCATGCGCTCCACGCCAGACCCAATGCGCTCCATGG